TCTGATCACCCGCACCTGCTGTCACCAATCAAGCCACACTACAAATACACACACAGCACAGTCACTCACTGTCCGGTCTACCGTTCACTCCTACGAACTTCTCTGGACTCTCTCTGCCAAATTCTCCTAGAACGAATTACCTGCTGTTCCTCCCGCGATCCTCCAACGACTCCTTGGAAACTGTTCCACGATCTCCAACGTAACCGGCATCCGATCCTCACCATCAGAACTCAGATAAGCACCCTGGAACCATTCACTGTGTTGACACTCACCTGCCTTTAACACACCTATTCCAGTCATCCCCTTACCCAGTCAATAAACCATCCTGATTTGCACTTACCTGTTGTGTCTGGCCTTGCTTTGTGACAGAGCTCATGTTTATTCACTGAAATCAGCCTTTTGAACTTTAAGCGTCACATTAAGCTATATCACAAGTCTTGTCTTTCCGTCCCCAAATTTAAGACCTCCTGAAATCATAAGACTTTCTTGTACCATTTAAGACTTTTTATGGCCTTATATTTGATACAACTAAATGTAAGACTTTATAAGGGCCCGTCAACTATCATAATTTTTGAGAATGCCAATGTTTTTCACTCACTGAAAGTTTCATCTGTCTGCGCGCCACTCTCTGCTTTCTTCACTGCACGCATGACTGCACATCTGAACATAGCAACAGTTAACTGTAGTAGAAAAGTGCACAATGATAGTGGTGTTCAGTGCAGAACTGATGTTGTTGTGCAAAATATCCAGACCCACCTGAACCCGATGTCAGCTGTAGAGTGAATTGAATAAAATGGAGGTTTTGAGAGACAAAAACTGAGAGATATTCAGTTCAATACTTTAGGGACATGTCTAGGGCACTCACTGATGTACCCCCTAATTTTTTTTTTTTTTTACCAACCTAAAAGAGTACTTTCATCCATCTGGATAAATAAAACAAACAAGGTTATGGTCAATAGCTTTCATCCTTTAATGTTAGTTCTATCTGCAGCTCAGCTAAAAATGAACAAAAACAAGTTTAAAAGTACAAGGTGCCCTCAAAACCCATTAGGTCGTGCTCCAGCTGGAGATATTACAGCGCTGGAAATAAAGTAGCCCTGACCTTGATGAACTCAAAGAGAATGTGCACTCACTGTTTCAGCCTGTAGATACTGCACAGTCCATACTACTGGGGTGCATGAGAGGAACGTTTAATACTTCACATAAGCTAACATTAGACTTTTTTCGGTTTTCGGTAATGCGATATTTCACGGTAATGAATATGCACGATATTGTTATCGTGGGCTCTTCTAAATACCGTGAATAATTATATATTACAAGTTATTCAGAATTTTGAATGCATTTTAAGAATACTTTTCCCATCAACTGGTCAAAATG